GCGTTGACTGAATGACCGTGAGCAACAGCAGAAGCTTTTGGTCCCTCAGAGCTCTGGGCTGCTCAGACCCCAGGCCCCGGGGGAGCGCCATGGCAGCGTGCTCCTGCTGTAGACCCTGCCCTGACCGCTGAGCTGGGCCTCAGCCAGGCTCTGACCGGTGGCCGTCTGTCCTCCAGGGCCCTGTTTGACTACGACAAGACCAAAGGACTGCGGATTCCTGAGCCAGGCCCTTAGCTTCCACTTTGGGGACGTGCTGCATGTCATCGATGCCAGTGATGAGGAGTGGTGGCAGGCACGGCGGGTTCACTCGGACAGCGAGACCGACGACATTGGCTTTATTCCCAGCAAACGGCGGTGAGGCTCCCAGGCCTTCAGCCTTCCTTCCACAGGCACCGCCTCTCCCGAGGTCCCGGGTGGGCAGCCAATAGGCCGTGGAGGTGCCCTCTGCCCTCTTGGGAATCTGTCCGCTGGCCCTCCTGGCACCATAGCTCCTATGAGCCTTTGGGGCAGACATCTCACTTAGGAGCACAGGAGCACAGAGGCCTAGGGCCTGCTGGGAGAGGGGGTTATGAGCTGGTCTGGTGATTGGGGCTGTAGGGCTCCTCACTGGGCATTTCCCTATCCCCCCTTCCTCCATGTTTCCCATAGGGTTGAGCGACGGGAGTGGTCAAGGTTAAAGGCCAAGGTAGGTAGAAGTGGGGTGAGGTTGGGTGGAAGAGTCAGGGACTCTTGGGGTGAACTCAACCAACCACGTGGCCTGCTCTTTCTTCCTAGGATTGGGGCTCCAGCTCTGGATCGCAGGGTAGGTAGGGTCGGTTTGGGAAGACCTGGGGTGAGGGGAGCCCCGAGCTTTGCTTGATGTCCTCAGGAAGGCAACAGGGAGCCCGAGTCCCCTGTCTCAGAGCCCCTGACAGTGACCCACCTCTCACCAGGTCGAGAAGACTCGGTTCTGAGCTACGAGACGGTGACGCAGATGGAAGGTAAGCCCCGCCCGCCCGGCATGGCCCAGCCCCTGCCGCTCCTGGCTCTGCCCCCGCCTGAGCCAGCGCTCTCTCCCCAGTGCACTATGCTCGCCCCATCATCATCCTCGGGCCCACCAAGGACCGTGCCAACGACGACCTTCTCTCTGAGTTCCCCGACAAGTTTGGATCCTGTGTTCCCCGTGAGTGCTGGGGCTGGGATGGAGGCGGAAGTGGCGGGGGGGGGGGGGTCCGCACGGGTGGGGGGGGGAAAGCCACTGTTGGCTGC